CCAATCTTCCACACTGGTCATGGAAGAGGTCTAACCTGAAGGGCAGAGAGATGAGTGCTCTGTGATTGCACCATGCAATGCCAATTGATCTTGCTGGACACTGTAAACCAATTTGAGTACTAATCAATGGCACCCTTTTTTGGTCTCTGAGGCACACCTGGATGGGTTTGCTTTTTTTACCCTCCCTTGCCCTTATCTGGCATGTCTATATTGCTTGTTCTCCCTGGGTATGTCCCTGTGAGTGGAACCAATATCAAAGTATCTTCATCCAACCAATCAACCTCATGGCTCAGCGAGTCAAGTTGACGATGAGAGTGGCAGGCAGCTTGGAAATGAACATGATGAGCAGCTGACCTGCACTCATGGTGCAACTGCTTGGGCAGTGTTGAGTGCCTCACTCTACCCTGGAGTTCAGAGTCACAAACTTTGACACCTTCTGGGTCAGACTCTGACAGATATTCATCACTGTTTGCCACAAGCTGCTCTAGATAAAGCACACGTAAGTACTGGGTTTGGTCCATGTGAAGCACAGGGTCTGACTATCACATTAATGGACTCACCATCCTGTCTGCCAATCCTCCATGGCACCACTGACCCTGTACTGATAAGATGTCTTCTTGTTCTTGAATCATGCATATGGTTTGTATCCTCTACTTGACTCATGATCAGTTTTGGATCTGCCAGGTATGTAATCTTGTACTGTGCCCATGCTTCATACTCTGCTGGTTTCAACAAATCATTTGGAGATACTCAGGCTTGGAATGTGCAGCCTGAACAGTATATGGTTGAACCAAATCAGGCATGTGAAGTGCAGTGCTCCCTTGTCACTGTCAATTTTGGAGTAGCAATCACTCTATGAGATAATGAGGCAGTGGAAAATCTGTGTCTGTCAAGTGTTATGCAACTGCAGTGGAGCAAATGGGACTACTAGTCAATGTTTCACTTGGCTGCTCCTAACCAGCACATTGAGTGTGAGGGGTTTCTTAGTATTGAACTAAGCATGTACTGACCAGGTTACAGACTTGATCCACTTGGAGGAGGGAGATATGGAGGAAGTAAAGGCTGTTGTAATGAAAATCTTGCCGTTTTTTTAACCCTTGATGAACCTGAACTTGAAGGAATCAAACCTGTAACAGTGGGTTTGCCAGGATTTACTGCCCTCCCAGGTGGTATCACAAGAAATACCTGCATATCCCGAGTCACATTGATCTCACAATCTGCCCTTTTTGGTGCACCATTATAACAGCCAATATAATGGTCAAAGTGTCCTACACAACCACTGAAAAAAAACCTAGATACTGTAAACAGCTCTGTCCATTTATTCAGTAGCAATTTTGCATGCTGACTTGATGAGATTACTTGACTGCTGTTCTGAGCTTCAAGAAATAACTGAATTGTCTTACTTGGCTCAGAGCAATACACAACTGGATGTTATCCTGTGACCAACAACTTGCATTCTCCTTGAACCGGAAAGCTCAGATGTAGGTTAGTTCTATGTGAGCAGTTGATTCACATCCTGTGGACATACTCCCATGATCTACCAATGTCTTTTGTGGTCTATCCTGTTATACTGTCTTCTATCACAATCTACCAAAATCTATGTGGATAATATATATATGGAAATGATTGACGGAGCTTGATGTAACAGGTACTGATGGACAAAGAAGTCAACCAGGGGCAAATTGTTATGGGGTGCAGTCCATATATTCATTGCTTGCAACTGTATATATTACTGTGACAACAGTATGTATAAGCATTACATTTTATGAGTGTGAATAGCCAACAGTCCATTAAGTTTACTCCTTGTCCGTCCTTAAGGTACCATTCATTTCAATCCATCATAACATACAGAGTCTTAACCATAATTGGGGATACAGAGCATGTGTAACCTCTTCAGAGCTTAGAGTCATCACAGATAGTTGCTTCATATTATAGCTGTAGTCATTTCAAGTAGGGCATGGAAAGGATTATGCAGGAGGACAATTGGTTGGATGCTGCCAATTGATGCTGTAGTTGAAAGCAGAAACTAGATTGTGCTTGGGCAATGATCTCATGGCTACAATGGTACTCAGGGCACTAAAAGCATTTTCTCATTAGGATACTCCTGTAGGAAGGGGGAAAGATATTCATAAGCACTTGTTCCCTAACTTGAGTCTCATCTCTTCATACTGTTCAGGAGCAGCAGACAGAATGTCTAACTACATTTGAAAGGCAGATGCCAGGTTGATTTTGCCTGTGAAGCATGCTTTGAAGAGGATGCTGGTGAAAATCCTTGCACCAAAAGGACCAGCCATATTGAGAGTAGGCTGCAAAGGGTATGCTTAGGGAGCTTCAAGGAAGAAGGGAAAATGCATATGTAGAACGATGGAAGTTTCCATATACAAAGTGAGACTGATGGAGTAAATGATGGATGTTGCCAACAAAACGTGTGAGATCGTAGCAGCAGTTTGTGATAGTCTTGTGGATAGAGATAGTAGGATCAATCAGGGTAAAAACCTCAGGCCATGCATTCTTGACAGCATTCCATGCAGCAGCCTGAAACCCAGAGCACATTGACTTCCTGACATTGAAAGGACCACTATTTCATGGTTGTCATGGGTTACACTCTCAGTGTCTATGCCCAAGAAATGGAACTTTGCCAATTGAGGTGTCCAACAAATGTACGTCACATGCCAGACTGCTTGGACACATGAAATGCAGTCTGCCCAAGCACATTGGGATTGGGATGCCACTTGCAGAGGCAACTGGAGCTTCATTCAGCCCAAGCTTATGAAGCTGTGACAGAAGATACTCAATACCATAGCAAATGGGTGTGGATCATTGGCCAAGTTCACAATTCAAATCACTTACTGGCTGTTACTCACGACACCTACATCAGTGAAATCAATTGTTACCTGTATACATTCACCATCTGTTCCCTCTTACAGGACTATCTTTGTAGTCATCCTGCAACACTGGCAGAGCAGGGTCCTGTGCTCCAGACTTTGTAAGTCTTCTCAGACATGGGATATATATTCATGCTAAGATTTGTCAGCATTTCGCCCATCACTTCCCAGCAGATCAAGACTCTGTCCCCAGTACCACATGATGACCTGGAATGCAAGGGGTATGTCCTCACAAACAATTGCCAATCTTGCAATTGTCTGACATCATTCACAGTGTAGGTGACCCTGATGGACCATTGATCCTTGAAATATTTCATTGTGGTGATATAAGCTATGTACAGGAGGATGGAACAGTCTCGAGGTTCAAATTACTCAAGCGCAAGACAGGTTTCAACGTGGAGTGTAACTGTTCTGTCACTCACTTTGTAGTTGAGGAAGCAGGCTGCCCAGTCATCACCTGCATGTCCAAGAACACCCTTCTCACCATGTATAGTATGCATGTGGATGAAGGGAACTCAAGTGATGGCACTGACAAATAGGATGGATAGGCAGGTTCTTGGCCCAGTGCACTCCACCTTCCCAGAGTATGTTGTTAGTTCAGATTCTGTCTTGTCACAAGGTCCACATTACCAGAGTATGCACTGTTGTTAGTTCAGATTTGGTCTCATCACAAGGTGTGTTGTACTGGAAGTGGATGGACAATGGATTCTGTTATTGCATTGACCACACTTGTCTGCCTGTGAGTGAGCCCATGAGACATTGCCAGATAACTTGAACAGCCTCATGGCTTCAGAACTTCTCCCGGATTTGCCTCATGAATAAAAGACATGGGTATGCCTGTCTATCTCTCATACAGTACTGATGCCATGGCACAACCATGTAAGTACAAGCTCTTTGGTCACATTGACAGGCTGGATGACACCAACCTTCAGTAGCCGGCCTCCCCCCCTGGTTGTAGTATTTTCCTGTTGGTGAATATGGCCTTGCATACAATTTTGACACATGTGCTGTGAAAAGACAGCCACCACATGGATGGGCATCAGCACAGGTGTGTGACAGTTTCCCAGTCAATCTATTGTGCTGAAAACAAGCCAGGTACTTGGTACACAAATCTCATCTGGATACTTAATGATGGGGGACTGCATTACCTCCAGGATTTGATGTATGCTGGGTATGGCTCCCCTGAAGCCTTCTACCAAATAGCATGCAACCTGCTGTATGCTGAGCTGGTTGGCTGTTTTGCATCCTTGATCAAGTCTCTCTACATGTTCCATGTCCCTGCCCAATGATGGATGGACCTTATGGATGCTTTCCAACTTGGTGGCATGGAGAGTCCTATCCCAAAGGCTCCTACCCTGGCCATGCTGGATGTTTGCAATGTTGGCCAGCAACCACACCCCAATGCTCAGATCCCTTGACCAAGTTACTATTATGGGCCAATGAATATTATGGATTGGGTCATGTGGTTCATCCATTTCTCCTGTCATCTCCAATGGCACTCATACTTGAATAGATTTGCCATCCTTGCCCTGGTCCAGCCCAGAGGCCTCAATCTGCCAATGAGCTTGCACCAAAGAGGAGGCACTTAGGGATTCCAGGAAACTCACACAGAGCTGCTGTGCCAACGATTATGTAAGCAGCAATAATGTGCCACCCAACAATTGACTATCACATGTTGCACATATGCCTGAAATACATTTACTAGAGCAGCACAGTCTCGACCCTGTTGTAAGTTTGGTTTCACAATGACAGTACATTTGATTCAATTTTCTCCTCTACATCCTTGTATGAATAGTACATTTTACCAAATAGTATATATGCTGGTGATATCCTCTGCACCCAGATGAATGTCCTGTGGAGTGGATTGGATTTCTCTGGATTGCTCCTCTTATCCATGCCTAACTGAACCTCAAAGCACATTCACTAAGAAAAGGACAGAAAGGGTACTATGAAAACTTGTGCAAAAGAATCAAAGCAGGTGCCATGAGGGGCAAGAATGCCAAGTCTAAGAAGGCATCCTGATCTGTGACTGAGTCAACCCCAACTTGCATCTGAAACATACTGCTCACACCAATATTATTGCAATGTCACATCTTCATGCAGGAAGATGCCCATTTACTGAATTGTTCTGCCCTCCTCTGCTCTTCCATTGTCCTGCAACCCAGGAAGAGCATCTGATGATTTATTGTAACCTTTGATATTTGGCATCACATCAATATGGTCATCAGCTAGATTGAGTTCTTGTTCCATATGAGACAATAACACCACATGGATTTGGTCCCTGCTAGAGCTCACCTCCAAGCAGCATAGAATGGCCAAATACATGTTCCAAAACAATGCAAGGGTAATCTTGGGTTTGCCAACAGCTGGCAAGGAGTTAGTTAAGAGCATTGGCTTGTGTAGAGGACAAACCTGTATAAGCAGCTTGATATGCATGCTCAAACTCCTCAGGAACTAAGTCAAGCACCAGATGGTTTGGTGGGGCATACAGTTGCTTGACATGCTTTAAATCATTCTCATTTGCTGAAACCTGCATGGCTAAGTGGTAGATATCTAAGCACTGGGAACACACATAGTCACCTTGAAATCTTGAGCATTGAATTGCTTGGGTTGATGAAGAATCTCCATGGGAATGCCCACAGGCAAAGGGTTTTCTCTATTGATGCCAGGAGGTGGCTTGCTGGAGTTGTACATTTTCACATATTCATCAATTTTGTGCTGCAGCTACAGAATAGCAATGCAGCAAATGCATAGCTTGATGGCCTGGTGAACATGTGTGGAATATCAAACAATAGCATACAATGTACCAATGGAGAACATTGCACAGATTGTACCATCCATTCCACATTCCATCCTCCAGCAAATCTTCATATCCTGATGCAAACTCCCTTTGGAACTGGATCAACTTAGACTCAGGTTGGGCCTTGATAAGTTGCAGCTTCCACTTGTGGAAAGATTGCCAAACAAGCAATGGATCAAGCAGTTGGCATAGGAGTGTGTGTCCCTTTGCAATGCCATTGTTTTGACTACCAAAAACACTCTGAGTGTATAATGGAATGCCTAGTGAATTGTGAGAGACAGCTGGTCATTGTTTTGAGGAACTTGCCTTGAAATTGTCGTGCCATTTCTAGATAGTAGTGAAAGATAAGATGTGGGCTTCTCAGGCTTCAGTTAGTCCACCATACTTTTAACCATAATATTGCCCTGCTAAAAAGCTTGATGCAGATATGGAGAAATAACCCAAACCATGGCCATTTATTGTCTCAATCAATGGCTGCCTGCAAACTTGTTTTCATTCCAGATGCTTGCCTTTGTGTTTGGCAACTTCATCTGGATAATGAATTGTATTGTACTCTTCAATTAAACATCTACATCATATTAAATGGGTTTATGAAGGAATCACCACTACAACAGGCAGGCTCACCTGGATGCCAAAATGTTTGTTTGTCACAACCAGTCTGCTAGCCGCTTTGCCCTGATGCACCTGGCACTTGACACACCATGCTCTGCTCATACAGCCTCTATGTGGGGACCAATACTTTGTATTGTATGCCATTGCTGGTGCACACTCTTCAGTCACATTTCTTCTCTACACCTCCAAACTGTCCAAGGCCTTTCATTAGTGAGTGATCTAATCTTCTGACATCAACTGATCAAGGCTTACCCCAGTGTCCATCCATTCTCTTGCCCTCCAACATCCTGCAGTATTTTCTCCACAATCTCCGCATCCTTTGCCCCATAATTCCAGTACTGAACAATGAGGGGTTTTAACAGTGCATCAGGAACTGTAAGATTGTTTAGCATGGATATATGGGGGTGATACACTTGAACATCTACCTGTTTGATGGTGTTGATTGGGTTGGCAGATTCCTGATTCTGGGGAATTTGGTAAGGAAATGGGTGGCAAAAAACAGGTGTCTCATGGGAGATGACCAGTATTTACTGCCACCCCCATCTCTGCTCAGCCAAGATGGGATACAAGCATACAATATGGTGAACTCTGAAGTGCATCAGCAACTTGTAACACCTGGGTATGTGTTGTGGTCTTCCAGAGGATTTCTCACATGTTGCTTCCAGATGCCACACCTGTGATTTGCAGGTTATCTTTGAGAACCATGTTTCCATGGGACATTTCTCATCATGCCTCATTCAACAAATGCCTCTTGATATACACAATAGCTATGTCAATTTCACACCTCATTAGACATCAACAATGACATGTGTTGCATTACTCACTCTGCATTGCCATGCAGTACTATATCTCTACCATAATTTCTGACACCCTCTATTGACAAAGAACCACCAAAAGCAAATACCAATTAATATGTTCAGAGATCTCTGTTTCAATCTCTCCAAATGACCATTGAAAGAACACTGGCAGCATGTGTCAAGAGCTCCCAAAGATACCAATGTTCAAGTTGGTCTTGCTGTGCATTCCGGCGCAGCATTCTCTGGTGGTTAGTACTAGTTTCCAGAATGATTGTGTTTTCTCACCTGTTACTAGAATTGACATCTGCCACAGAATTGTGCCTTTTGGATGGTCTTGTCAATGTTTTACTCCAAATGTTGTCATAGCACTCAGCCCTCATTTGGGTCCTTCCAAGTGAGCATTTGACCAAATAAATCTCAGCTGAATGGATTTCAGCTTGGTTACCTCTGGGTGGCCAAGGCTACAGTGCAATCATCCCTTGGGATGGACCAAAAAGTATGTTTGCTTCCTTGTATCTTCTGCTGTTCTTTCCACTCACTATTATGTACATCATACAGAACAGCATGCAGAACCAGCCAATCCTGCATGTACCACACTGACAGATGGTTGCATATTACTCCTTGAGTTGCTCTTGTTGATGGGAGACAAATTGGCGTGATCACACCATGTGGTTTTTGTCTTAATTGGGGGAGATACCATTCCAAAGTGGTTGATCTCCCAATGTGTTAATGTTGGTTCCCCCTCCAAATACCCCTTGGACTGCATGAGGCATAAAAGGCTGACTGAGCAACTGCATGAAGTCTAAAATGCAACCAGCAATTGCTCCACCTCCTATACTCCCTTTTCGCTTCCTCTGATCCTCCTTATACTGCTTTTCTTCCTGCACTTTTTCATTCACTAACCCTTTGAAATATGCCCCATCATGTTGTTTACTATCTGTTCCAAAGTGATGGCCAGCATTGTGTCTAGCACACATTTGAGCTTGCCAGGGCTTGTTCCAAGCAAACCTATCCTGCAACTTGATATTTGTGGTCAAAAGTGTTGTTGCAAAGATAGTTCCCCTTGGGTTCATTTTCTCTGTTTAGTGTCTGATTGTCTGATACATGCTACCATTAGGAATTCAGTCAGTTGCCATCCTTGTCTCCTGCCAGATGCCGGATGCAGGTGCAAGCCATGTTCCCCAGATCTACAAATGCTCCTATTAGCATTGAAGACATTCAAAAGGCTCTGTTGAGCAGCACTCCTATGTTTGAAGACAGGAAGTCTCCGGCCGGTGCACAGTCTCATATTGTTTCAAAGTGCTCCACTAATGTTGTCTCAGGTGTCTTCATAGAGAAGGGCTATTTCCTACCTACAGCCTGGTTGGACTTCAATACCCTCATCATGAAGAGATACCATGTGAGGGTTGATTGGATGTGGACTATGCTGTCTGCTGTAGTTAGCGTCAATGAGAGACCTGACTCTCTTCTCGGGTGGCTGGGCTCATTTAAAACTTCACACCCAGGGACAATTATCCTTCACAGTGATGGCAACTCCTCATCTGACAATCTTCTGTTCAAGGTTGGTGTTGGATCAAGAGTGGCCTGCAAACGCTGGTTCATCCAAGACACAGACACCTGTGATGCATTCAATTTAGGAGGCTTCCTCTGCATCAGCAAAACAAAAGAAGCAAAGCTCCTTGCTACTGAGATGACCAATCTTGTGTGGGCCACTGCTCTGCAGCAACTTGTCATCATTGAGATCAAGGAATTCAGAGCAAAAGCCCCACTGGGACATCCCACACATGCCATTGTCATTCCTTTTGTTCACTTTGTCTGGAGTGGCCTGTTCCATGTTGGCCACAGTGCCCCTTCAAAAGCCAAGAAGAAAAGCAGAGTTGGTCTAACCTACCTTGTGGAAGAACTGATTGAGGGTGGGGAGGATGGTTTTGTGAAGTATCTGCAGAACTCAAATGCTCAGCTGCTGTTTGTCAAGGGACCAAAGGGCGACATTGCACAATTTCTCTCATTTTCCCAGCATGTTCAGTTCCACAAGACTAGCAGATTGGTATACCTATCAGATTACCAAGGTATGTCTAAGTATTCCCCATCGATGGATCTGACTGACAATCAGAAAGGAGTGGGAGGGATATTGACAGACCCCCAAGTAATGATGAATCCATGAGTGGCCATGGTCAGATGAAGCCCCTCAACAGATCACTGACTTGGAGCTGTTCAGTCCATAGTTGACTTTCTGCCAAACTCTTTGGCGGGGGTAACATGCTGACTGCCTTCAAATCTTTTGCTGTGGAACACATTTGAAATTGGTACTGCATTGCCTTTGAACTTCAAACCCTTGACCCTCAAGCATCTTAATTCCAAGTTTGAGCTGTACTGTGCAGATTGTGTTATTCAATGGAATGTGTGATTTGGTGCATGAGGGGGGAGAGAGAAATATAACACTGTGCTCATTCCTCAGCCCTTGAGCACTATCATTCCTAGTCTGCGCCATACTGTGCAGATTGTGGTATTCAATGGAATGTGCGATTTGATGCATGAGGGGTGTGAGAGAAGTACAATAGACTCTCATGCTCATTCCTCAGCCCTCAACTACTGTCATTCCAAGTAAGTTTAGATCATGCCGTGCAGATTGTGTTATTTGATGGAATGTGCAATTTGGCACATGAGGGGTGTGAGAGAAGTAAAATAGACTGTTATGTTCACTCCTCACCCCTCAAGTACTATCATTCCAAGTAAGTTCAGATCATGCCGTCAAATTGTGATATTCAACAGAATGTGCAATTTACCATATGATGAAGCATGAGAAAAAGTACAATTCTGTAGCTCAGTTATCAGCTTTGAAGCACTACATTAGGAGGTGTGATGCAAGTTGTGCAATTTTATCATACAGTATGTGTGACAGGATGTCATGTTGTCAAGGACTTGAGGCACAAGGGACTATTTCTCTTGACTTCAACACTGATATGTACAAGCAGAACACACTCATTGTGTTTATGGTTACACTGTTAGTTTTAATCCTGCAATACAGCATAGCAGCTTCAGGATCATATAAGCTCTCAGTGAAAGCACAGAATGCAGGAATCAGTGGCAAACTGTGGAATGATTAGATTGCTGAAACTTCAGTGATTGCAAACACAAGAACCTCCCTTGATGCCCAGCCAACTGATGAACAACCCCACCTCCGGTAGGGTGTGTCAGGCCGATATTCCCATGGCTATTTTCAGGCCCTTGGAGACCATTGCAGGGTACTACAGACCCTCACTATGCAGATAATGCACCCCAGCAATGAGCCTTGGCCCACCACGGATATTCGGCATGGTGACTACTATGATTCCCCAGGCAACAGGACCACTCAGATATTTGGCATGATGACAGTGGGTTTCCTCTGTGACGGGATTGACCCACCTGGATATTCGGCATGTCAATGCTTGCCTTAGAGAGGTATCTAGAGACTGGGTTAGTATAGAGTGCAGTTTTCAGTAGCTAGTATAAGTAGTTTCCAGAAACTCCTGTATCTAGCTTATTCTGCCCCTTTTCCATTAGCGATTATACAGATCCAATTATCCCCTTACTGGATAGGCAGATTTGACTCGACTCAGTGTACTCGACTTGACTTATTGCAACACTTGACTAGACAGACATCGAGCTCCGATTTACCGACCAATTTCCGACAACTCAGCTTCAGGCTGACTCCAGCATTTCTACTGATTTCCCCCATCTCTCCCGTCTTTCTCCAGCGAGTTCTCGCACACCACCCATCGGACCAATATTTCGGACACCTCTTGGGTTGGATCACCGATACAAAAGAGCCCTTCAGGTGTTTTAGCCTGAGATAAGGCCACGTAGGGTTGGCCTAATTGTGGTCAGTCGCCTTCATGTCACAACATGGAAGCACAGCCGTACGGGAGTCGAAAGTCCCTGTCAGGTCTACAGAAACATTTTCCATTGTTTGACCTTGGGCCTTGTGAATGGTCATTGCCCAAGAAAGTACGATGGGTAACTGTCCCGGAGGAGATGAGCGTGGTCAGTTATAATATCAGACTGTGCACAAGTCACCTGGTTACGCTCCGCCAAAGGAGCCCCATTCTTTCCTTTGATTACCCATTTTTCGTAGCCCACGAGGTCATAAAACTCACCTCGAACGGTGGTCCATCGCACAAGTGGGAAGACTGTTGCTTTTCTCCTTTCTATTTCTTGTGGAGTGAGATCTCCCTTGGGATCGATCTCGACCAGGTCGACGACGTTGTCCCAAGCGTTTTCTTCTCGCTCCTTGAGATCTACCCACACACCATCCCGCTTGCGCTCCCATTCAGACAAGGTCAAGAAGCCCAATACAATGCCTCTTGTGCCATTTGCAAGGGGGGAGCCGTCTTCCCTATTTCGAGTCAGAAGAACCGGGGAGCCCCGCGCCAGGCGCAAGAGTTGAGCGCCCATTGTAGAGTTCGTTTTCTCCTCTCTTTCGAGAAGCTTTGGATCCCCGCGATCGAGAGCATGGTATTGGAAAATGACCCGTTCTAAGCGTAATAACCGCACTTCATTCGCCGTGTCAACGAATTTGCGTTTCGGGAATCTACTATCCATATCAGCGAAGCAATCAGCATGACATAAAACCTACAGCAGAATGGGCGGAACTATGTGCGCTCTCTTTGACTGCACCCGATTCAGAGAGTGCATAAAACGGGTGCCTTTGTCTGACAATTTCCCAATCCGGAGCTCATTTAAGAACTCGATAAAAGCTAGAAAAGTAGAATATCAGTTAAGGTTATTTCGGATCTGGTTGGCTATACCTCTATCCTTCTGTCGAAGAACCTCGGTAAGTTCAAATACGACTTGAACACAGTGGTGCCAGATTTTGGCCTCAAACGCAAATGTTACCCGATCACCCTTCGCCTCGACGGGAGGAAGCTGAAAGAAGTCACCTGTAATCACCAGCTGGAGGGTACTGGTCAGCATCTGGATCTGGACTTGGAGCAAGCCGAGAGGAGGTCAGACCTGAATACCACCAGAGGGTGCAGCGTTGCCCCGAACATAACGTGCGATTTTTTCAATCTTGTCGAAGAGCCAAGCGCTTATCATTGATACTGCACCACACCGGTTAATATGCCACGCATAATGAAGAAGAGAAATATTTCACTCTCATCAATGACCAGTACTTGAGTTTGCATGTATCTCTCCCTTGCACACGGCCATGAAGGTATGTTCTTCACATACCAATCAACATGTTGTTCGCCGATGCCGATCGCCGCCCATGAATGAAGAGTCCTGCCACCTAGCGCCACGGCCGCTAGACCTGTGGATGCAGTTACTGCTACTGCATCTGGCTTGTCGTGATATTTCTTCTTCAGCGCGCCAATAATGTGCTTCAAGGTAAAGGATTTTCCTGAACCTTCACAGCACACATCAGTCGACATGTGAGGGCCTAATTATGTGATGTACGTACCCGCAGGACCAGTGAAGAATACCCCCTTGTCTTCTAGCACTGCAGCAAGAACACGCGCCTGTCCATCAGTAAGCGTTTCCTTGCTGCCAACGTCCAACACCACAAGGGCTTTCGCCGATGAATTACATCTTCGAATGCGAGCGGCATCGGCAATTGCCATCTTATCTTTGGTAGTAAGCTGTGGCTTTACTCGCTCCGGTGCGCATGTTGGGGCAAGCATGGATGTTGACCCACTGTGGATGGATTCTGAAGTCGATAATGTTGGTACAGCCGGCTTTGTCGGCTTGTATGGCTGCACAATCGACATCGCGCAGGACACAGATTTTCTCGTCTCATTGGATGAAACCGCGCTTGTATCACTTTTAGCTTTCAGGGGTGCACTCAGCTGTGGCTTTACTTGCTGTCGTACGTCCGTAGCGGGAGGGGAACACGCCAACCGCCGGAGGGGCACGTTAGAAACCGATAATGTGGATATGGCGGGTTTTGTGGCTTTTCCTGATGCGCTTATGATCGAGTGGGTTACCGATTCCTCTGCCCGATCGGATTCAGTCACCATCGTGTCATCATTCCTTGCTTTCACGAGTGCAGTTGATTCCATCTCAGACGTTGTTTTCTTCAAGCCGGAGCGCTCATCCCCGGAGAAGCGCGACTCGTGCGCTTGTGTCCTTTGTAACAACTCGTTCGGCCTTGTGAATTGTTCCCTTACCCCTTGAGTGGGAGCTACAGCTTCTCAATACGACGTAGTCATCGGCCTGGAGGGAGGCGGGGCCAGAAGAGAGGATGACGAAGCCGCCTTGCTGATTGGTTGCAGCATTTCAGAGAGACGGTCCAACATGGTGGAGAGATTGGGAGGATAATCTAAACGTTGTGGCCCATCGTCGGTGGCGGAACATTGTAGGGGGGGAGCAGGAGTAAAGAATTCGAGAGGGCGTTTTATCATGTTAGATGCGGTTCCCAACCTTCTCTTTCGAGAAGAACCTCGAAAGACGCTTGGAGCAGATGGTTGCGGCTTTTCTAGAGGAATTGCGGAGTGTGAAGCCATACTACTGGGCGGGGGCACAGAAGACGCATCTATACCCACGCCCTTAGCCGTATTCATCGAGTAGCCAGTCGATAACACCGGTGTAGAAGAGGTTTGGAAGTCTGACATGGCTCGGAATGCGTGCCCAGCCGTATTCGATTCATGACTTTTGTGAGAGTCTTTACTCCGTGATTCAGCTTCGGGACTGAGGAAAAGGAGAGAAGAATGCAGGGGAGTGATTCGAGACAGATCCGGCTGGTATTCGCCGTATCCCATCTGATTAGCAGTTTGGTTGCCCGTCGCGATTCGTAACAGTCGTGAGGCTCTGAGAGCGGTGCTGTGGTCGCGCGGAGACCGTGGGCTCTGATGGCGATATGAGGTCGTCGCGTCAATGAGTTCGTGTTGGAGGAAGTCTCCCTCCTCCGGTTGAAGAGAAGGATCGTGTATAGTTGATCCAGGTGGCTCATAAGTTGGGAGGTGAGTAGAAGTGTCTTCGAGGTTGGGGATAGGAATGGGTCTGGTTGGCACTCCGTCTTCACCTTGCAAAAGTTCGCCCGATAAGGATTCAGCACGTGCAAGAGCATTAATGTCGACTACGGATACGTGCTCGGCACTGATCGTGTTACTTCTCGAGCAAACAGGATCGACATATGTGTCAGTCTTGCGCCCAATGAGCCGAGAACATATGATATCTTCATCAGTGCTATCGGTTAGAACCATGCCGCTGTGAGCACTTAAATTCAGTTCACCTCGATATGACCGGTCAAGGGATTGTGATGGGACTGGCGTGCTGGGTACGAGGATCTTCTCCAATATTCAAATAGCTGCGCCATCCAGCATAACTGTCTTTGGGACCGTATCGTCTTCCATCGCATCGTCTTCAGAAATCTGTGACGAGACTGGTGTGCTGGGCACAAGAATTTCCCCCGGCATTCAAATCGCTGCACCGTCTAGTGTAGCTGTCTTCGGAACCACAGCATCTGATATCGCATCGTCTTCAGAGGGCTGTGACGAAACTGGCGTGCGGGGCACGAGGATCTTCCCTGGTATTCGAATGGCCGCACCGTCTAATGTAGCTGTCTTCTGGACGGGGGGTTCCGACATCGCGTCGTCTTCCAAGGCATGTGCACCTCCAATGGCAAAGAGTTCGCTGGTATCGGCATACCTTCCGGGCCTCTCATCGTCCACAGCTGAGTCGTTGGCTTTCTCGCCCGGATCTTCCTCTTGATAAACTTCGTATAATTGCGAGGGTGTTAGTCGTGTAAAGATGCTTCCCGAGATGTGAATAGCTGCGATGTCCAGTGTGGCTCTCTTCGAAGACAGCGAGCCCGAAATCGCCTGGTCTTTCAGATCGGATTGAACTCCAATTGAACAGAGGTCTTTGGTCTCAGCATATTCTCCGTGACTCTCGTCGTCGCCCGCCAAATCGTCATCCTTATCATCAGACGTCTCCGTTGGTTGATGTTCAGCATTGTTGGCTTGCGGTAATGTTTGTATATGCGACCCAATAATAGTACCCATCGCATGCTCCGTTGAGTGGTTCTGGAGGCGTGAGGTACGAGTGTCGTCCAACGATGCTTCCTTGCAGTCTGAGAACGCAGGGTCAGACAAGAGCGACGAGTCAGTCGGGATCTCATCTTCAGACTCCGAAGACAAATCAGAGTCGAGAATGTCCGTGGATTATGGAATCCACTTCAGTCCTGCAGACGACGTCTTGTACCGTTCAAGGTGGCACAGATTCAAGGCGGCAAAACTGTACGTGATAGAAGTGCGAGACAAAATCGCAGTGATTTCTTTTATTCTATCGTCTTCGGTGCTCATTTTTGTGCCGAAAGACTCGCTGGATTCTCCCGGCCAATGTGATGCTGCTGCTGAGGGCGCCGGCCTCCGTGACGGCGGACGGAGGTGCATGGGAGATGTTATTTGCCACGTCACGTCGCCAGGCCAACCTCGAGCATTATCCATAGGTAAAAAGCACAAAGAATCGGGATATGATATTCCCAGTGAACGCCTTGATAGTCCTTGTATCGTCTGAGGAAGCTGGCATAATCAAGTGTTAGAGTTTTGTCATATGACAATTGCAACATCATAGCGTGTTATGGCACGTCACGTGCAAGTCGATTCCGTGAACGCGACACACAAATGAATCTCTTGATAGACACAGTGATGCCCTTGCTGAATGACAAGAAACACCCTTCATTGTGTTTCAGTGTAACTCCATGATATTACGTTCAGAAATTCGCCGGTGTCTCAACTGGAATGGAAGTGCAGAAATGCATTGAAACGTCACGCAAAATGCATAAGGACCTTATCAGCAGAATGAGAGAGGATGATGAATGAGAACAAGAAGATGTGCAGATGTCAGTGTTGGAGAGCATGCCAGGTATCATGGAAGAAACTCTTCATATAGCCTTCAGAATATTGCAGGTCCCATATGGCCTGGATCTTCCTCCTCATCAGCTTTGCCCTGAGGATGAGATTATTGAGAGATGGTCAAAGGTGTGGTTGGCCCTGGTGGTGTGTGTGTTTGTTTGGCATTGTGCTGACTTGCTGACATCACTGAAACAGAATGAATTCATTGACTTTTGGTTTTATATAGAGCTACCAGATCAAACACCTGGCATCCTGCTAGACTTTGTTGAACAAATCATCCAATTGAAGCAGACCTTGGGCTGACATGGTGTCACAGTACATGTTGACAACAATGACGTGATGCTTGAAATGCTCCAAATTCCACTGCTTTGGTTTGACAAATATGAAGATGCTCTAGCTCTCTGGAAGGTGAATCAGGACATGCTACCTCCCAGTCCTTTTGAGATAGGAAGTGATCTCAGCTTTCTAGAATTGTCAAGGGAAGGGCCCCAGGGCACTCAGTGTTGCAGCATCCTCTGGCCAGATCATCTGCATCTCCTTCACTCCATGTTATGGCATGGAGTGCTAGCAATTATTGGAGACCCACCATGATTGAAGCTGTGCAACTTGAACACATGCAAGCCTTCATGTCTGATACCAGTGATATCTGGGTTTGTTGGATTCTCCAAATCAAGTGCAATAATCCATCCCATCTAACAGGCTCTGGCAGATCTATCAGCTAAGAATTGGTGCATTTCTGCACAGGCAGGGTTGCTTTGTTGCACCATGTTGCAATATGTTCTGTATTCATGTGATCTGGTCTGGAAATTTGACAGCAAGCTGGAGACAATGATTCTGTGGTGATGCTTTGTACTTGTCAGGGCACCAGCTCATTGCTTGGTCAAGAGACATGACTAAGCCTTTATGACATGGAAGTAGCTGGTATACCTTGTCATGTGCTGGAACCTGCTGGAAGGATTGGATGGTCAGGTGACCTGCTGTGCATGGCTGTGCATGACCTCATATGACCTCATCCTTGGTCATATGACCTGATCACCTGACTAGGCTGAGTAAGCAAGATGTTCT